ACAATCATCAGTGACAATTAAAAAAATCTTGCTTATAACAATATATAACAAATATAATCTGTATAAAACTTCGACATTATGCATACTTCCAAGAGGGTAGAAAGTGATATCTGTTAGAGTTGATAACAACAGTTGTCGTTCTACAGCACCACGCATATTCAGAATTAAGTGACTTATCTGTAAACTAAATCATCATCATCATCATCATCATCATCAGCCTTTTTACGTCCCCACTGCAGGGGCTCAGGCCTTCCTTATGGATGGTTAAGGAGGATGGGCCATGACCCTCCACGCTGGCCCAATTGGCGGATTGGTGGGTATTAACAACTACAAATGCAGCCGGGACCAAAGGCTTAACGTGCCTTCCGAAGCACGGAGTAGCTCGAGATAATAATTTTTTGGTCACCCATCCCGTGACCGACCCTTGCGAAAGTTGCTTAACGATAACGATCGCGGGCCGCGGCGCTTATCTACTACGCCACGGAGCTACTCTAAGTATTAGAACTATATTAAACTAAGTTTTAGAACTATATTAAAGAGTACTTTAGTAAACTAAGTATTAGAACTATATTAAAGAGTATAATCGAGACACTTCTGGCCATCTCAAAACGACAACATTAGACTTCAAATTTGACTTCTGGCGTGTACTCAGCCTAAAGCAACTTCAGAAAAATGCGTTACGTCTACGACAAAGTTATATAGGAGACTCCTCCATGAGCCCATCTGATGAACAACTTCCTTAGAGGCCTGTCGTCTAAAAACCTTGCTGTGTACCCACACTCTGGGGATACGACTAGCGATTCAATCTCCGACACTTCATGAAATTCTCCAGGGAAAGAGTTGTAGCTATTCAAAAAAGTTTATTTTTTATTTGAATAAAATGTTTTTTATTAAATGAATTTATTTAATTTTGCATAACAATACTATATTGATATCTATACTAATATTATAAAGCTGAAGAGTTTGTTTGTTTGTTTGAACGCTCTAATCTCAGGAACTACTGGTTCGAATTAAAAAAATATTTTTGTGTTGAATATTTATCGAGGATATAACATCAAATTATTTTTGTGTTGAATAGACCATGTTTTGTGCTATATAACATCACGCTGCAACTATTGGGAGCGAAGAAATAATGGAAAACGCAGACGAAGTCGCTGGCGGCCACTAGTTTGTTATAAAGAAAAATGTTTAAAAAATTAATTGTGACTGGTACATTTTTCAGCATTTTTCTTTGCGATTTGAATAAAGAATGTTACGGGTTCGGTGCTTGGGTCAATTAATAAGGCTGCTTAGCTTGAGTATATATTTATTAGTTAAATAAGGGTAATAAGAAAAAACCCTTGTCGGGCTTCTAGTTAACTTTTGGATCTTCCAAAATACAGATTACAATTTAGTAGTTACATATGTTATATAATTTGTATCACCATATCACATTATTTATCACAATAAATGAATTATTTTAAAATTACATAGTAAAATTTATACCATTAATATTGTATTGTATTATAATTTCATCTTGTGCATAGGAGAATTTCTTACGAACTGACATCCATAAAGAGTATAATTGATTAGTCAAAATTTTAAATTACGAAAGACGAATAATAAAATGAAATGATGTTGAATTTCAAAAACAAAAAGTTTGCATACTGAAACCTAGGAAAACAAACGGTGGTATGGCACACCGTTACAAGAAAATTTTGAATTTTAATTTATCCCGTTAATTAAACCGTTTTCGGGTTCGAATACCGATCTGGAGAACAATCATGCACGGCCTTACTTAGACAGTTGACGGAATGCCATAACAACAAAGCTGATGCCGATTTTGAATTCTGCCGGTTTAGTGAATAGTAAATTGTATTCAAACAATGAATTCCAACAATCGTCATTGAGATTAAAATTAACGCTCAGTATTGACTATGTGCACGACTTCAGCGACACCTAGCGTCCGCAACCTTGCGAGCTTTAACGCTTTGAAATTAAACGTGTTATTTCAGATAAAATATTAAAATCAACAATTGTGTAATAATTAATATTACAAAACTACTGCGATACTATGATTTTGGTGGACTAATCATAAAAATTAAATAAGGTAACTAAATTTTATTTAAAAAAAAATATTTTGGTTAGAATATCTTTAACTCATTTTTAGTTGCAATTTTACTGTAAAACAAGAAATTAAAGCGCCTTTGACAGTTTAGTACAAATACAGACAGTTAGTAATAAATTAAATATGGTTTTTGTTCGAAATGAGTATTCTTCTAACCACCGGGTTTGTATGTATCACTCACTACAGTTAGTAATAAATTAAATATGGTTTTTGTTCGAAATGAGTATTCTTCTAACCACCGGGTTTGTATGTTTCACTCACTACATAAGATAAAAACTTTGCTTCTTTGCAATGGCTATATTTTTTAAAGTAGGTAGGTAATTTGATGGAACTTATAATCGGTATAACTACTTTTATTTTAGTATTAATTTTATTGCAATTAATACAGCACTACTGAAGTACCTAATTGATAAAATCAAACATTTTTAGTCAATGTATTTAGAAAATATTTGTACAAATAATGATAACAACAACAAATGTAGTCTGTATATTATTTTACTTAAAATATATATGTAATGTGATGTTGGTTTGATAAAAAAAATATTTATCATTAAGAGAATTCACAAATATATTTCAGCACAGTTTATTATTATTTTATCAATATTATTATTTCATAAAATTAACAAAATCATTCAATTGTTTTTTTGTATTATAAATCAAAATTAATGAACACTTTTCACGTTAACTCAGTAAAAGAAATACAAGTACGTAGTATGGTACGACAGACGGGAAAGCTTTTGGCCACCGTAAGAGCTGGGATAGATTGCGTCACCCACACCTAGTACTTCGCACCCAACGAATAAAGAAAGAGGTTTACCATATAATCTTATATCTATAAATGGCTTTGACGTATAAACTCCAGATAATGCGCATATTAAGAAGTATAAATATTGAAATCTTGAAGCTCCTATCAATGTATAAGGTAGACCTGTCACAGAAAACCCCACACATAATCCTGGAATACTTAAAAATCAATTACGTAATTTATATGACTAATTAGCACGATCCCGCTATCGGTGTCTGTCTGTGCTGTTACTGTGTGCCCGTTGAACTCAAAACGTGTTATTGCTTTGAGATAGTCTAATCAGTTTATAAGCGCTAATGAGGTGAAAGATTATAACATGAATATCATACGACGGTGACGTAACCAAATTAGAAACTATATCAACGTCACCAATTATACTTGATAAATAAAGGTAGGTAAGTTTATAGGTAGTCATAAAAGGTAATAAGTGAAATACAGCAAGTAAAACTTTGTATTCAAATAGTCGGCTATCCTAAGTCCGAATCCACTATTGTTAATTAGCCACGGATGCTCTGTATTACAGGGGCTAAAAAAAGATTTAAAGAGACAATGTTTCGTAAGCAGAACCAAAGTAAAAATAAGACCTCTTTATTTGGAACCTCAACTTATTCAATGTACAATGTTTCGTAAGCAGAACCAAAGTAAAAATAAGACCTCGTTATTCAAAACCTCAACTCATTCAACGTCTATTTTTTCTTAGCACTATTTCGTGTATTTTACTATTTCTGTTACAAAATGAAAATTTTCTTGATATAATTAAGAAAACGTGCGGCACCGCATGTTATAGAGCAAAGGACTCTTGTTTGGAGTCAATGTAAGTCTAGTCTATGATCCAAAAATATTAGTTATTAATTAAACATAGATAGGTACTTTTTTAGATTACGGTGATGCTTAAGATTTTTTTTATTATTTATTATATTTAGAATACACAACGTGTTTAACAATTATTTAATAAATAAATTAGCAGACTTATTTCTATCTTAAATAAGTACTTTATAAATGGCATTCGAATAAAATAAACAAATAAATATTAAGTAACATCATTGCTCATACTTCAAATGAGTAGCTAAATCCCCGTGTTATGGATCATCTGAGACAACGAAGGTACCAAAACACCGAGACCAGAGAAACTATATAGAAAAGTCCTTTTTCTACATTGACCCGACCTGGAATCGAACACGGAACCTCAAAGGAAGAAAACTTGATACCGGCGTGCGCACCACTGGGCTTCAGAGGTCGTATTACTTTAATAAATAATTTTTTAAATAAGACTGATAGTCAATGTGATGCATAATAGCACAGTGATAAAAAACAATAGGACAGCATTTTTAAATATGGATAGATAGTTCGGGTTTATTTTCTAGGGTGAAATTACACAGAAAAATTCATTCAGATGACACCTTTTTATTCTGTGCTGACAACTATATCTTTTTATTCTTAAAATGCTCTTTGGACTATACAATAAAAAGTGCGATAAGATATCTCAGTTTCTTAAGGTCTCTAAAGAAATCTCAATATACATTTTTAGCCGAGTTAAAAACTCTCGGAATTATTATTTTAATGTATGTTATATTTGTATATAAGAAGATTTGCTGTAGCAGAATATGTAGAATATAAAGAGAGAATAAGTTATTTATTATAATTTAATTTCTTTATTTTGATTAAGAGGATCCGTTTCTGCTTGTAATCTTTTAAGCATATTTTTTCTATTAAGTTAATAAAAATATTCTTTATTCGAATAAACGAAACTTCAATGCACTTTTGAATCGTCGATATATTACAGCGAATTTTGAATTTAATATAGGTATTTATTTCGTGAATCTTTTGCCCATGGTATTTTATTTTGAATTATAAATCGCTAATTATAACATTTCGTCTATTTTCTAATCACATTTCTATTCACAATAAATTTATATATTTTATAGAAAAATACTTATAAAAAGCATCGGTTTCATATGCTCGAGAGAGGATATTAATTGAAATAAATGCCTGATTTTTAATACCTTTAGGTTTTTTATGAATATGTCGATGTCTGTGTAGTCTATTAATAAAATACGTACTTACCACTTTCCATAATAATTTGTGTAAAAATATACAAAAACGTTTATCTGAGTGTTAAGTTACAAATCATGTAAATATTTCTTTAAGAAGATGGTTCTTTTTCAAACAGCATAGAATATAGAAGTTAATGCAGTTTGCTTCATTAATAAATATATAAAATAAATATTAAACAAGGAATATGTTTCGATTTTGGCAAACAAGTCTTTTAACGAAGATATAACTTTATTATTACAAAATATAAATAACAATAAAAAATATATTTTGACTTGATAGAATTAAAATATATAGGTTTACATAATAATTGGTCATTATTCATATCCATTATCCATATAATAATATTAGTTATAGTTAAAATTTATATGAAATCTGAATACATACCCATCTTAGTTTCGTTTCAGTCAAAATGTGTTAACACTTGTTTTATAATTAATAATAATTATTTATTTCTTATAATGTTTCTAAAACAGTCATAGATAGTAATATTATTGTCAAATGCTGTATTATTCAGATACATGTATATTGCTTAAAATATTCCTTAATCTCACTTTTGATGTCTTGCTCATTATTTAATTCGAGTTCATTTTTATTTCTCTATTCTTCAAATCACAATTGCACTATATCCCAAATGTATTGACATTTAATCGATTTTGGGATTTCTATATATTTTCATAGTGAAAGGTTCTTCGAACTTCAATGCTATTTCATATACCATATGAACGAAGAATGTTATAAGTAAACCTGCACCTTTTCCTTGCAGAAGTGAGAACCCAAGGAATGATAACGTAGATCCTCTGTACATAGGATTTTCACAAACGTTGAACGGGAAAGCTCTTACCCTCTCCTTCATTAAGATACCGAAGTAGTCGCCGCAGTAAGTACCAATGATCCCTAACTGGTACATAGAAGTGATAACCAAGATCTGTCCAAGAACAATTAGTATCACTCCCAAAGATTTGGTGAATTCATTTTCTAACACCTGTGATACGACCTGTTTGTACAATGCCTGTTCGAAATAATAATTCCTCACTATTCCCAAAGTGAATATGGTCACTGCCAATATGTAGCAGCCAGTTTTTGGATTATTCGTTAGTTTCGTCAAGAAATGGGTGTAGTATTCCAAACGGGAGACGATATTCCAAAATATTGGATTAAATATGACGAAGAATAATGACACCTTGAACGTTGTGTCGCAGAAATCTATAGACGAGAGCAAATCGATAGCTGACTCGTGAAATTTATAACACTTTTCCACGGAGGAATTCATTTTTGGATATCCACACGGATCGTTTCAGACACAACTGGGTTGAAGATGGCAAGTGGCGATTAGAAATAGCCACGTCCAGTCTTCACTCTTTACGCGATAACAGATTCTGGGATATACCTTTCGATGGAGCCGACCAATAGGATGCCACTTGTGGCAATCACGTCACCCTCTTTGAGATAAAAGTTTAATTAATCTAATCGCAGAGTCAAATGTCACGCTTGTTACCGTAATACAGTATACAGTTACAAAATCAAAAAATCAATTTCAGAAAACATAGAATCCATTTACGATTACCTTTGCGTATTGAAATGATGGCATTTCAATACTTTTGGTTTATAAAACTCGGTTCACTTTCACGTTGTCGATGTTCGGTAGTTTGTTTTCCCTTAAGACCTTTAAGCCCTATCACGGGTTGTAATGCTATTGATTTATAAGTTTATTAGATTATACATAAACGTTAAATAATATTATAACCTTTTGTTATATTTTTCATTATTTAATATTAAATTCCTTAAGTGAAACTCGCACGCCTTTTTTTTTTTTTTGATCGTTATAAAAAGTATAAAAATCCAAACTGACTTCATTCGAAACTCAGTCATAAAACCAATTACTTACCTAATACAAATCTGGACTAATACACAACTATAGAGTATAGAGGCATTCAGCCTAAAAGTGATATAAACCGCAATTTTTAAATTTATTGCAACTTATTTAATACTTCATGAAATATGATGCAAACACCGGTCTATCACTATTTTCACATAGGCTGGTTAAGGATCATAAATTATTAAGTTAAGTTATTAGCGCGATATATAAAAATTTTAAACATGGACGTTTACCTATTTTTAGTTATAAACAGTAACATTAATTTGTTACCTAATTCATTCGCATTGAACTAAAGATTAAGTCAAGCATGATTCGTGTCGACGTAAACACGCATACACGTAACGCGATTACCCCCCCCCCCCCCACACACACACACTCAAGGTCCCCACCCTGTCTCATAAAGTCTATTTTGATGGTACCTATGAGTTGAAAATATATGGCGCGAATGTTATAAAGAGAAAATTCTACTAAGCCAGTTATGATATAGTATTCAATAAGAATACAATTATTATCTATGAATATAAAAAAGTTAGTCATGACTTTTATATAACTAATAAACCGTAAGACCAATTTTCGTGATTTGTTGGAGTTGTGTCTGCCTGGAATCATAATACATTTAATAATATTTAAAATATTAGTAACTAACAGATAAATTAGTAACTAAAAAATTTAGGACGTTTAGTTTGTTAGATTACTACAGGTGTTGTAAAGACAATGGAAGTTATGACATTTGTCATTGAGCTCGCACTTTAAATGTCTTAATAGAAGCAAATAAAGAAAAAGTGACGATACTATAAGCTACGTCTATATTTATCATAGTAATTCTAAGGCGCTAAGAAGTCAGCTAGTTTTTTGCAATTAGTAAAATTATGTTTAAATTAATTGACATTTGAAAATAAAACATAAAAATAAATCTGTCTCCTTCATAAATTCACGGATCATTAATTCCAAGACTACCGAACAAAATGCATTATGGATCCTCGTTTATCATACAAATACCTACGTCTAGAGCTCCACAGATCTGCAAGTAAACATGGATGCAAAGCATAATAATATCCGCTTCCGCATTGAAACTTTGCTGGAGGAAATTTGATCAGGGGCCGTGATTAAAGTGGCGGGGATTTTGCGAAAAATATTCATTTTGTTGTTCACTGGACAGTTATAAATTGGAAATTAATAGCTCTGTGGTGGAGTGGCTCGTACGAGCAGGTGACGTCATGACGCATTCCTTATTTAAATTTGGAATGTGGGTTTGAGAAATGCGCCGCTGAAATATCAGCGGGTGTTCACATAAATCAATTTTCGATATAGAATCATGAGATTCATCGTGTTCTGTTCTACTCTATGGCATTGGGAAATAAGAGTAGAATTGATTATGAAACGTTCTAGAATATATCAAACATCAATTTCGAAAAATCTGAAACAGCAATAAAAATAATGATCACCAATAAAGTAAATGCAAAAGCGCAGTATCATAATCAATATTCGCCATTGCTAACACCTTCGTATTCGACCTTTTTACAAGATTTTATTCTATGTTCCTTGACTCAACTTGACAAGAAGGTTTTATTGCTATTACAATTTGTTCCAAAAAGTATTCATCAAAGATTTCATTCGCAAAGCCGATCGTCATTTCTTTTCCTTACGGCACACAGCGTTAGTCTTGAATCTGAAATATATAGAAACCGCAACTACTTACATCATCGCCTCGCACCCTACGTCTACATCGGGAGAAGGATAAAATCGAAAACGAGTACCTACCCAGTTCGCGTCTGAACTGTGCGGAATTCCTTGCGCGTGAACCATGTCGCACGTAACTTAATTAAATTCTATTATACGACACAAAGATAAATAACTCTCTCGCTGTTAGACGTCCCCCCCTCTCCGCCAAAGTGGAAGTTGAAATTTAGAAAGAATGAAGTAATTTCTTTTGTGGAAGCGGCGACTTAAAGGTGGAACGAGACATAATGGTTTGTTACTCGCAGTCGCAAGAGATGTGAGAACATTTTACGTTTTGTGTTATTTTAAGGTTTTTCTTTTTGTATTGCGAGTGCTCATGTTTACGATGATTTTCTTAAATTACCCACCTTTGTTTTAGACATAAAATAAATTTTAAAGAAATAGCCGCGCTAAAGAACTGGTTGCAAATAGTTGTACACGATATATTTTTAAATGAGTATCTGCGTTTTTGATATAATAACAATATTTTTGAAGGTAACCATTACAAGCATTAAGACTCTTGTAGAGGCCACAGGAATTTTGTATGCATAGAATTACAAACATAGAACAGGAGTGCACCGTCACGAGTCCTCTGTATCATCGACTGCAAAAACAGACCAACTGCTAGTAAATTTTTGATTGCTTATCCAACCAAATTGAACAGAATTTGTTAAAATGTCACATTAACGCAACACACTAATCACTACCCTTTCTTGTTTCTCCATCTAGAAAGAGTATATGAACAAAATTAGAACGGAGTTGATCAACCAATGCAAAAGTTGTTTAACGAGTTTGAATAGCCCAACAATGTGTCCATAAGTTTATTCATCAATTCCGCATTACTGTCAAACAGATCTCACATTTGACTTCCGCGCAATCAAGGTCAGTGTTTATCGCTGGTAACGAGATTTACAATTAATATAGGTACACGCACTCACTGTATGTTCCGCAATGTAACAGAAAAGCAAGTTCTCAATGGGTGATCTCCTTACATTGGATTATATTATCAAGTCCCTAAATCCTGCTCGTCGTGATAATTGAACACGTCGTTAGATTAAAATAATTGTTTGTATTAGATGTACAGGTAATACAAACAATTATTTAAAGTACTTTTTTAATTACCCTTTTTTCGGTAATTTTACATAAATCCTGCTATTTGGTTAATATAAAAGATAGTTTTTATCTTACTAGTATTAAGTTTAGATTTAGATCAACACAAGATTTCTCTTGAAAATTATTTTCGTTAAATAATTATTGCTAAATTAATTTCTTAATTTTAATTGGTAATATACGCTCGAATGTTAAAAAATATGGAGGGTATTATCAAAAAATACATAAGTTTTTGGTACCACTTAAAATGGCAGAAGAATTATTAATAGTACCAAATATTTGCAATGGTTTTCAGTTAAGGATTCAGTATATATCACAAACAAACTTTTTACATTTTCTTGATGATGTGATGAGGTCGTTAAACATTTTTATTTGATTATTTCTTCGAATACTCAAAAGTTCTAATATTATCTAAGTATATTATTAGAAACATAAAACCTGTTTTCAAAGTCAACTATATCTTACACATGGTGACAACCAAAAAATAAAAAACAGTAAAATCAAGAAAACCCTTTACTCAAAAGCGTTACGTTGTTGTTATAATATATAAAAAACACAGTCATCATAAATTTTTTACTTCAACGAAGTCATTTGAAAATAATCAAAAGCTAAACCGAAAAAACATAACAAAAGAAATCCTATATCTAATGTAACGTCGTCCACAAACTTATAAACATACTCGTATATAAAAAAAATCACTCCTTTCTTTTGCAAGGCTTGTGATATATATAATTATGTATAAGTTTACTAATATTTTTGGTATTTTATATGTTGTACTATGTTTATGATTATTTTAGTATTTGTTGTTGTAGTTTTATTTAAATTATTAACATATTTAATTGCTCTGTACCGCCATCGCGTTTGTCAATTTTCTCAAAGGTTGCCTGGGAGATAATGCTATTAGCATAATTTAATTTTAATTTAATCGGTCATTAAAGTTCAACAAATAAATTGAATTGAAAGACCGGATCGGAAATTATCGTATTTTGTTTTTTATAATCTTTATGTGTCACATAAAATGTTAGGTCCTTTTGTGAAATTTAAAAATGGCACCGTTCATTTTTAAATTTCACAACGTAATAAGCTGCACACATCGTCACCGCTCTTACATTTTTAAATATTGCAAAGTGAATCATGGATGCAGTCCGCACGTCGTGTGCTGTCGTTGTTAAATCTAATTTCGTGTAATAGGGAACTTACTAGGTGACGGTGGTTGTCCCGGCTCTGCATAATATGGATGCAATAAAAATCGCTAGTTGCGTAAATACAATAACAGATCCTCTGTTTCATTCACACAGAATTGAAAAGATAAAAAAGCTTTTGTATAATATGTCAGTTCAGATATAGTAGAAGTGCCTAAGCGGGGATTTTGCGCGTTACTCGAGTGCGTCAGAAAATGATACGGAGAGAAACCATACGCTCACGCTTACCTCCCCACTAAAATAGCAAACTTAACAATTTTAGGACTTAATCTTTGCAATTGAAAAGGCTCCCCAACTATTATGACTTCCTAATTGAGAAACAAAATGTGATAAGTATCGATCTTCATTTCAATTCCATTTAGTTCGTCGAAACTAAATCAATATCAAGAAAGATATTGAAGTTGCCGCTAGTGCTCCCATCCGAGGTGAAAATATACGACAGAAATGTCTACACCTACATAAAAACAAAGTTTGTTCGTCATATATCGTCGTTAGTGTTAATTGGTGATACTACAAATATATACAATATATTAGTATGAGGTGATACGCAGTTAGCTTATTAGTTCCAGTTTCCGCTGCCTGCCTAGATAGATGACTCAATATAATTATTTAAGATTCATGTTATTTGATAATCACTAATGTTGATGGAAAACTTCATTCGTAAATCAACACTATCCCAAAGAGGTGTGTAAAATAAACCTATTTCTGACGTAAACTATTTATTTCAAGTATTAGCTCAATCATCGTCTGCTTAATATATATTCCTCTAGTTTTCTCTTAATACATATAAGCCAATTTGTTCTGATTTAGGGGGGTTGGGAAATTTTGAACGCATGCAGTTATGAAATGTTATAGTATGAGCGTTCAAGACTTCTATTTGATTAAATTTTTGATACTGCATTTTTGCTGCTGTGAACTGATTGTATTATTTAAATTACAGACTAATTGTAGACATATGTAGTGCTAACGGCAAAATTTCTTTTTCTTTACTCACAGAGATCGGAATTTTTTGGAACTCTCAGAAAATAAGATCTGAATTACTAAAATTAGTAAATTCGAGATCGTCGTTGGTATTAACTATTCGAAGGTACAAAATAATAAAAGCCTAAATAATTGAAAGACCTGGCTAGGTTTTTTTCTAAAGAAAAAATAAATAGAACAACACTACAATTGAAAACGAAATTAAAACGTTCACGGTGTACTGTAGCCATTTATACTAAACTCTTTACTTTAG